TAGTTTTACTGACCTGCAAACTTCACACAGCAGCTGGAAATCTGCACCCGCATTCGCAGTTATCTGATCATAAGGCGCCACCTCCTGGTGCCATTGGACATACCTGTTTATCTGAGGCCTTAGTCTTCCTGGGCATGTATTATAGTATGTTATTTTGCTGTATACTGAATGTACAGGTCCTGCTGTTGTGATTTTTTTTTTTTTTTTTTTTTTTTTTTTGCAGCAGGCTTCATTTTTCTTTTTTTTTTTTTTTTTTTTTTTTTCATTTATCAGCCTGATGCCATTTATATTGTTACCATATTGCACCTCTTAATAAACAATGTATTTTGTTAATTTAATGCATGTGCAAATTTTCTTAAGACTCCAAAACCAAACACATTAAATCAGCTTTTATTTAGTTAAAAAAATCCCTTTTTTCTAAGTTAAAAATCACACTGAGAAGCAAATATTTCCTCTGTGTGGCATACAGAACACTGAAAGGAAGGGCACTGCCCATAGCAGAAGTTCCCAGCCAGTGGTATCTAGACCCCCAGGGAGTAATTCTGCCTACTGTAGTTATTTCAAGACAATGGTAAGTTTTTTGCAAACTAATAAAAAAAAATACATATCTATTACAGTAACAAAAACATAATGGAATATTTTGATCACTAACACAGGATACTGATTATACATATGCACATGCCAAAGTAAACCTTTGCAGGACAAAGCAATAGGTAACTTTAAAATGTATGTTTACAAACCTTTTTGTTTTGCATAGAGAAGGGAGGGATTTGAACCCCTGCAAGGTTTTTATTGCTCAGAAATGGGAGAGGGATGGGGGGGGGGGGGGAGATGCGGGCCTAGCCAAATCAAACAAATGAGCATGCCAAACTGTCCAATGGTGTTTTGTTTTTTTTTTGTTTTTTTAAACAAAGTGGTTGTAAAGGTGTTGTACAATCATGCATTCTAAGCATGAAGATAAAACAGAAGGGGGAAAAAAAATTAAGAGAAAAACCCTGTGTGCAGCATTCCCCCCCATTTACCTGAGCCCCATCATGATCCAGCTCTGTACACGAGAGCCTCAGTTCGTCAGGAACTTTCCCTTGCAGGATAAACTGGAAAAAGAAAAGTATCCTAAAACAGGCCTTAAACATTACCTACTCTGCTTAAAAAAAAAAAAATAGTGGCATTACATACACTTTAATGCCTCTGCCTTCTGTTGCACATTTGCCTTTTCTTCACTTCCCAACAGCTGCTAGCAATAATCACATGTAAAATCCAACAGGCTGGTTATACCAAAGTTGATCGATCGAACAACTTGGTTCAGCGTAGACCAAATCTCGGGCCGATTCGAACCATCGATGGTTGGCTTAACTGTGTTAGAAAAATATCAGATTAATTGCTACAAGTATGAAGACAGGAAAGGTTTTTCTACAAGGCTAAATCTACAGTCAGTAAACTCCCCAGCATGTTGTCCTATGTGTCCATGGACACAGACTTTAAGCAGCATTTTTTGGCTGGAAAAAAACCCCCAGAACTAGTGGGTTTCTAGAGTAATTTTAGCTATTAAAATGCTCGAATGCTGGTAAACACGGTAAAACGTGGCAAACGGGTGGGGTTTTTTTTTTTTTCTTAGCAAAAAATGTATTTGCTTTTGTATAAACGCAAAAATGCTAAAAAAAAAAATTGCGGAAAACCCTTGTGTTAACATGACAGCTAACGCTACCGGCATTTTTAAAACACCCAGTGTGCATGAGGACAAAGTGCGATGGGTGAATTACAACATTAATAATATAAGCCAAAGCAATCCTGCTCCTCTACGTTTGGCATGCTCACTCCAAACACTCTGGTCAATGCACGTTGTGGCGGAAATGCCTATACCAGCTACATCAAATGGCTGCTTCTTCTACCTTTCTTAAGAGGACAATTCCATCCAAAACAAATGTTATTACCGAGTTGGTTGCTCTGAAGTTAAAATACATGCCAGCTCCAAGACCAACCAAAATCCCAGGTATTGGCCACCTGATGGATTAACAACATGGCAAATAACGAATATGAGCAGTGAGGTCAGAGGCAGGATTACTTCATCATCAAGTTGCAGTTGAAATATTTCATGATCAGGCCTGCTAGCATGCTTTACAGTAGGACCCTTGCTCTGTGTGTGCAAGCAGTGTTCTGTCCAACACCAACAAAGGTTGTTAAAACCCTTACTGCTCATTTTCTTTAGAAAGCAGCCACAACCTAACTAGAAAAGCCAGTCCCCTGCTGACATGCTGTAGAGAAGAACCCTTGCTGTCGTTGTGGAAGCAGCAGTTTCTCTGCAGCGATGCAACACTCAGTCCCACTCCCAATCACACTTAGAATTTCTAAGAAGTACTAGATTATCTTTAAGTAAGCTCTAGATATGTGCTCAATAATCTCCACCATTAAAATAAATATCCTCTATTTAGGCTATAGGTACTCTAACAAATGGAAGACTTTGGACTATAAAAGGGGATCACTACTGAGCACTCCTTTAAATTGTCAATCCCCTTGCTCTAACCCCAAAGATCAGGCAGATGGCACAGAAACTTCAGCATAGAGTTGCTGAGCACCACTTGCAGTTTTTTTTTTTTTAATTCCCGAAGTACCTAAGGACCCTGTACACCTGAATTACAGACCTGAGAACGCTAACCTTGCATACAGGAAAACACCACTATACCAATTAGCAGAACTCCAGGCAAATACAAAAAAAAAAAAAAAAAACCTGGTTTAGTATCTTTAAAGGCTCATTCACATTGCAGATTAGTGCTCCGTGCAGAGCCTTTGGCATATGTGTGTGCATCCACCTTGGAGATGAAGACAGGAGTGGGTGTATGGATCTGAAAACAAAGCCTGTGTCCAGATCTGTGCACCCGTTCCTACCCTCTTGTCAAACTTAGACGTGCAATTGTGGCGCTGCGTGTGCATCCACTTCAATGGGATGTCTGCACATACATCTGCCAGCAAAGGATGCCACTAATCTGCCATATGAATGAGCCCTAATACAAACTAAACCTATTTGGTGATAAAAGTATAAACTGCCTCAAATCGTCCCTGTTAGATTTTTACAAGTGCAAAACCAAAATCTGAATACGAAGGTATGAACGGTGAGCCAACTGCGCTGTAGTGCATAAATAACATATTTCAGGCACTGAGAATAGGAGATGGAGGGATTTAGATATTTTAAAAAGGGGGTTTAACAGTATGATGATGCCCTTTCCTTGTCCAAAGATCAGAAAGGTGATATAGAAACCAATAGTAGGTAACCGTGGTGTCACCACGTAGCAGGTAATCAAAAGTAGCTGAACAGAATCACAAATATTACAGGAAACCAGTTCATATTTATGGGTCCATGTGTAAAAATAAGACAAAAACGTCACACAGCCCCAATGGTGCGTGCCATAATTTGTGTAATATCATTATCTCCAATGACTGCAAGTGCCATCTAGTGGACTTAGTGCGTTTGTTTCCCTGGGTGAAGTATTTTAAAAGAAATACTGCATTATGGCCACTAGGTGTAGATGACACCTATGATCATCAGAGACAATTCTATTACACAAAATACTGCAAGGTTCATTGGGGCTGTGGAATGTTTGTTACACTCGTAAAGCAAAGTTTTTGTTTTGTTTGTTTTTTTCATATAGATCCCTTTGTGTATTTGCATGGAGTTATTGGCTTCTATAAACTGCAGCCTTTTCCTAGAAAAGCTCCTTGCACTAATGTCCCAGCTCAGCAAGAGCACAAACACTGTAATGGGGGTACACTAAGGGGACAATGCAATGTTCCCATACACAATGCCCCTTCAGCCCATGTACTCGATAGGGTAAACTAGGGTGAAATTATCAAGTGTGTAAATAGCTGTGTGTGTGCATATGTATGTATATTTATTTATTATGCACACAAACACATTATGTAAAGTGGAGCTGCAGTCAAACAGGGTCAGATCCTCTACCACGTTTTCATTGCTACCAACATCAGGGTGGATGTCTAATTTCCAGAAGAATATATAGACAGTGGATACCAGCAATGCCCTGGGTGTCACCAACACAGGCAGTGAGATAAAGTAACAAGCATAGGGAAGGACGCTGATGGAAATAAAAACTCAACAAGCCATCTAACTCATCTTACTCCTTTCAATCAAGAAGCACAGGATGTATATTACACCCTGCTACTAATAAAGGTCACTAGCTGGCCCATTCTGCCCCACAACTCATTACTATTGAACAGCAAACAGGTAAAATTCCTTCAATAAAAATAAAAAGTGAACAACACTGTAAAATTTGTCATCGCTTTCAGGACACCAGAATTAATTTAAAAAACAGCCATATATTATATAGGCAGAACCTCAACTGTGGAGACCAATAAAGAACCGAAAGTAGTGATAGCGCAAAGTTTCCTTAACTGGTATGTTTTGCTGCCACCAACAACTACCATTGGTGACAGTGGTGGCATGTAAACAAATGGCTGGGCACTATAGAAGCCAGGAGTCTGTATACATTTCTACTGGCTCCCAGCTATGTAAAAGTGTGCAGCCACCCAATCACTTGTACATGGCATTGGCTGATGAGGGTCATTATGGTAAATACAGCCCGGCCCATGAATCGGTGTTGTGTCTATTGCTCTATCAATGAATACAGCTGGCACTTCTAGAGCCTGTTTAGGGAAATAATAAATGTGATTTGCTGAGTAATATTATCACTGCCATGCTTTATGTATTGCTGGTTAGAAAGGCACCTGTCATATCATAGATGAAGGTCGTTCTCTGAAAATGCTAACTGTCTGGCTGTGTTTAGCTTCAATGACCTGGAACAGCAAGGCAGGAAATGATAATCAGAAATCCTTAAGCCCTATTCTTGTTCCCAGTCTGCGACTTGAAAGAGTGAAGACCAGGCTCAGCATAAATCGAAGCAACTAGCATTTTCAGGCGAGGTCTGCAATGGCAACCATTGTATATATCTCATGGTGGGTTTCTTTTACATTGGATCTGGTGATACACTAATTTAGTTGATAGAGCTGCGGTCATCCTCGTCATTCAGGATAGGTGTTCTGTCAGCTTCATCTCTGGATTCGGGCTCCGCCTGAGGTCTTCGCTTTGACGTCTTGTTCAGTGTGCCTCCCTGGTGACATGCAGAAAGGAGAGATCAGCAAAAAGACCTAATAATATATTGTTAGTCACATGAGTCATTTTGGATTGCAAAATAAAACTTCCCTTAATGAAAGGTGTGTGTCATTGTGATTACGGCATTACTGTCCCTGAGCCATCAGTTTTGCATAGCTGCTCCAGTACCTAATCATGTTATCCAATGCAAATTTTAGTGGTCATGTCGTACCACTAATCTGTAGCTGTATAAAGTATTGAAGCCAGCAGCAGATTGTCACAGAAAAAACCCAAGAGCCACAAAATTGCCATGAGTCTAATGCTGGCCATGTCTAATGCAATCATCTGATGTTATGATCAATTTGACCAAACTGTCATAACTTTCAGAAATCAAATTACACCAATACAGTTTTTTTGATTAGTACACAAAATCAGTTTTTTGTATGCAGTGATTGGTAGATTCCGAGTGTTCTATGCAGTGACTGATTTTTTTCCCTCCTCTACAACATCCTACGCAGTCACTGATCAGCGTCCTAACTCCAACAGTCATTACCTGTTTCTTATCCACTATGTTTAAGGACACAGACGTCACTATACAACCAATGGTATTTGCCAACATGAATATCATCATCTGCTGCCAGCGCCACAATGGGATCTTAGATTCACTAGAGACAGAACAGAAACATAATTATTATATAACAAAATAATAAAAAAAAAAACAACAATTTCCACCATGACTTTATCAACATTGTATTTATAAATCCCCCCCAGCACCCATAAAATACAGGTACAGGAACTGACTTCTTCACAAAACTACACCGGATTAATTAACTCCTTGACGCCAACATAACACAGATATGCGGCCTCACAGAACTGGGCTTTTTTTCCGTGGGGCAGCATATTTGTACCTGTCTTTGTGCTGGGAGCGCCGCTCGGCGCGCTCCCAGCACAGAGACCGCGGTGTCACTGAGAGCCCCGTTCTAACAATCGGGACCCCCAATTCCAGGTCACATGATCACTGTGGTTAGTCACTGTGCAGCCCCGAACCCCTTGTTTTTTTTTTCTCTCTCTATGAATGGAGGAGAGAGATACATTGTATCTCCCTAACTCCAGGCATAGAGAAAAAAAAAAAAAAAAAGATAAATAAATATTAAAAAAAAAAAAGAAAAAAATAAAGATAAATACCTAGATAAAGGTCCAATCTAGTCCAGTGCACTATTGTTTCTGAGCTGTACTACGGGTACAAACAACAAACATACACATATATGGTATCACTGCGATCATCAAGAGCTGGAGAATTTATTTTGGGTTGTTCTTTGGTGGTAGTTTATGGTCATAACAAGAAACACACAGCTAAATAAAAAAAAAAAAAAGGGGTTTTTTACTATTTTGGGCCAGTTTTCCTTTGATAATAATAAAAAAAAAAAAAAAAAACATCAGGAGCTATCCATTACCATTTACCACTAAATGAAATCCCAATTTGTCCTGAAAAAATGAAGGTATAATCCACCTGGATGTACAAAGTAGTTGTGATGATATGTACGGTTTTACTATCACATGTCAACATACAGAATTTTGCTTAGGCATTTAGATTTGTTTTACCCTTAGGCGTGAAAGGGGTTAAAGTGTAAGCTCCACAGGGACTGATGCAAGGTTCCTATGTTAAATGTCAACACTGTACATAGATATTTTTGGACACACCTGGATTTAGTTCCAAGGATTCTGCCAACAATAAGATTAGAAAGTCCAATACCAATCATCTGCACAGAGGTAGCCAGGCCCATGGCTGTTCCAAGGGTAGCTTGTGGGACCACAAGAGGGATAGAGGGCCACATGCTGGCCTGAGGGTAGAAAACAGACATTGTCAGCTGGGCAGCAGGACATACTACCAGTATATCACCGTCATAAAAATGAACCAACACTCATGTTAACATACAGTTGCACAGAAAGTTTTTCTGGACCATGAAATTAAAGTGGTTTTAAAACCTAAACATTTTTTACCTTAAAGTGGTTCTAAAGGCAGGCTTTTTTACCATCATGCATTCAGGAGGGCCGGTAGGGGACCCGAGAAGAAGGGGATCGGTGCAAAACTATTGCAGAGCAGGTATGACATGTTTATTTAAAAAAAAAAAAAAAAAAAAAAGCCAAACCTTTAAACACCACTTTAATGCATTCTTCACATTAAGGTAAAAAATGTTTAGGCATCGGTTTACTTACCTGACCCCTCATTCGAACCAGCGCTGTGCCTATCTGACGTGGCTTTTTCCTCACTTACGGGTCTCGCAAGCTTTACTGAGGTATTGGGAGCCATCGGCTCCCGCTGGTGTCAAAGCCAGTGACGAAGGATCGGGGTGCACATAGCAAGGCTCAGGAGCAAGCTTGCATGAGTGCCCCCACAGAAAGCGGCTTTTCTTTGGGGGCACACACCAGAGAAGAGGAACTAGGAGTGCCGGTGGGGAACCTGAGAAGAGGATTGGGGCCACTCTGTGCAAACCATTACACAGAGCAGGTAGGTATAAACTATTTTCTTGGAGAAATGCTGTTCCAGGTCCCCTCTTGTACCACTCAGATAACCAGCAGTCAAGACATTTGGTCATGTGATCTCTGTGAAGGGGGAAATAATTCAGCTATTCTGACCTACGCCTACCACAGAGTTCACATGACCAGAATCCTAGTAATTGTAGACACATAGGGATTTATTTACTAAAGCTGGAGAGTGCAAAATCACGCTCACTTCTGCATAGACACCAATCAGCTTCTAACCTCAACTTGTTCAATTTTGGCAATAAAACCTGGAAGCTGATTGGTTCCTATGCAGAGTGAGCCTGATTTTGCACTCTTCTGCTTTAGTAAATAAACCCCATACAGTCAAATGCAATACAGTATGAAACTAATCCTGTAACGGATTTAGAGATATGCAATATTTTCAGGATCCACCTGGCTGCCTGACTGACCGTTGACTGCTTTTCAGCGCATTTCTGAGAGCCAGAGCTAGCTTTGCCCCATCCTTTCCGAATTTCAGCTTTATAAAAACGCATTTCACAATTATCTGTGATCCTCACTAACACCATCCAAAAATTCAATGTACACTCACACTGAATTTAAAAACTACCTTTTAGTAGACTTTGACAGAACCCTGTCCTTTCATAAGTCATAATTCTCCAAATATCACTCAAACCGTCCTCTTTGCTCCTCCCACGACCTCCTGCTCTCTAGCTCCCTTGTCTCCTCCTCCCATGCTTGTCTCCAGGACTTCTCCAGAGCCTCCCGCATCCTTTGGAATTCTCTACCCCAATCTATCAGACTATCACCTACTCTGTCCACTTTTAGGCTCTTCAGGGAAGCCTATCCTGCCTTCAGCTAATAATGGAATCTTCTATTCCTTCTACCAGTCCATCCCCCACAGTTATTACCTTTTGTACCACCAGCCCCTTACTCTTAGATTGTAAGCTCCAAGCAGCAGGACCCTCCTAACCCTCTTGTATTGAACTGTATTGTTGCTGTATTGTCTCCCTTTATTTTGTAAAGCGCTATATAAATCCTGTATAATAATAATTACATCTTTGTCTTCCAGATGCATACGTAGGGCTGAGATCCAGCTCTCTCCAAAAGGTCCTACCATCCACCCCACCCCCCCTATCCCCCTGTCTCTCTTATCTTATAAGCCCCCTACTTGTTTTCTTCAGTTAACCACTTCCCGTCCGGCCATTGTATATAAAGGGCCAGATGGTGGTAGTGCAGGGGCAGGTGGCCGTTTATAAACAGCCTCCCCGCCCCCTGCTTGTGCGCGCTCCCTGTAAGCGCACAGCACCGCAATCCGGTGCCCGCTGTGTCCTCTGGACACAGTGGAACACCGATCTTTGTACGGGACCTCTGTGCGAGGTCCCGATCATGTGATCACTGATTGGCCGATCATGTGATCACTGATTGGCCAATCAGTGATCACATGAAGAGTAGTAAGCAAGATGTCACTTCTGACATCATTGCTTACTACGTGTGAAATCTGTCAATGATCACAGAGGTCACATAGTACAAGGCTATTCACAGCAGCCTTGTACCATGTGACAAGCTGTGACCAATCACAGCTCACACAGTATTTCTCAATGGCTGCAAGAATGCAGCCAGAGAGAAGGAGAAATTATTGCTTTTACAGCCTTTATGGGTGTAAAAGCAATCAGTGTAAAAAAAAAAAAAAAACCTTCATCACCCCCCACAAGTAGTACTGCTAGGGTGACAGTATGTAAAAAATAAACAAACAAATAATAATATAAAAAAAAGATAAAAAAGTAAAAAAAATTTTGTTAAATTATAATTTTTGGTTATAAACTAATTTGGGTTATTTTTTTTACTAAAAGGATAGATGAAATCATTTTGGCCAAGATTTATGAAGAAAGATTATTTATTTGCAAAATTTTATAAGAAAAACACTTTTTTTCAAAATTTTTGGACTTTTTCATTTATATAACAAAAAAAAAAAAAAAACTCCCAGTGGTAAATAAAAAGTACCACCAAAAAAGTAAAGTTTTAACTGTCTAAAAAAAAAATGCTACAAATTTCATACTGTGTTCCATGACCGCGCAATTGTCATTCAAAGTGTGATTACGCTGAAAGCTGAAACTTGGCCTGGACAGGAAGGGGGTAAAAGTGTCTGGACTGGAAGTGGTTAAGTTAAACTTCCTCTCCATGTGCCAGAAATGACACTGTACCCCACTACACCATACAGTATCTACTTGCTTTACACTGGATACGCTTTAACCACTTGCCTACAGGGCACTTATACCCCCTTCCTGCCCAGGCCAATTTTCAGCTTTCAGCGCTGTCACACTTTGAATGAAAATTGTGCGGTCATGCAACATTGTACCCATATGAAATTTGTATCATTTTTTTTTTTTAAACAAATAGAGCTTTCTTTTGATGGTATTTACTCGCCGCTGTTTTTTCTTTGTTTTTATCATAAAATTTTGCAAACAGGTAATTTTTCTCCTTCACTGATGTGCGTTGATGAAGCTGCACTGCTGGGCACTAATAGGCAGCAGTAATAGGCGGCACTGCTGGGAGGCACTGATGGATGGCACTGCTGGGCGGCATTGATGATCGGTGCCGATCCCCCCTCTGACAACTGCTGGTTCCCGGCAGTACTTTCCTCACGCTGTGACAGCGTGAGGAAAGTGCAGTCGATAACCAGCAATTGCATTTCCCAGTGATCAGTGTGTCATTGGACACGGCTGATCACGTGGTAAAAGGCTGCTGTGATTGGCCTTTTACTGCTGTGATTGGCCTTTTACCATACCACGTGATCAGCTGTGTCCACAGGGTGTGCACAGGAGAGCACATTCTGGGACGCCCTCCCAGAACTGGCCAGCCACAGAGAAGCCGTCATTTGGCTATCTGCGGTCGGCAAGTGGTTAAACATTGGTTGATTGGCTGCTTTTAGGAACTTTCATATTGCCAAGAGCTACCTGTCTATGGCACCTTTTGACTTGACAGAATTTACTCTGAAGTTGCCATCTGTTACAATAACTAAATTACACTAACAAGTTTGCTTAAATTGTTCTAGCCAAAGGCATGCCTATGATAAGAGAAAGCATTTTAGCCTTACCGCAGCAAAGGAATATGTCACCCCAAGCCACAGGGTGGAGACCAGCGGAGGAACGAAGGTAAAAGCCAGGAGAGCAAAGACTGGCAACGTCAGGACTGCACAGAGGACAGCCAGGATCCCTCTCATGCCAACATAGTCCTGAAAGAAAAGAAAACAACACTCGGGTATAGGCCAAGCAGCACTGAAAAAGAACTTGCATGTGTAGTCAATGTAATGGCAAAAAGATTTTGAAAGTACCAATACTATTTGCCTTGTCTCTGTTCCTTCAGAGTACAAGTGCAGAAGTACAGAAACATAAAGAAGAAGATCTATAATTTTTATTTTACAGTTCTGTATCCTATATATTTATTTATTGCATGTATTTATATAGGGCCGTCAATTTACGCAGCGCTTTACATAAATATTATATATTCACATCAGTCCCTAACCCTCAAGTGGCGTACAATCTAAAGTCCCTACCTTACACATACACATACTAGGGCCAATTTAGACAGGAGCCAATTAACCTACCAGCATGTCTTTGGAGTGTGGGAAGAAACCCGGAGGAAACATACGCACAGGGAGAACATGCAACTGCAGGAAGATGGTGCCGTGGTTGGGATTCGAACCAACGAGCCTAGTACTACCAGGCGGAAGCGCTAACCATTTAGCACGAGCTGACATCCCTCTTCCAGGAAAGTGCTCAGATCTGAGACAAGCTGCAACCATGAATCAGCTGTCTCCTTTGTAGCTGTTGTTGGATCGGCCACGGCAGGGGAGCAACTTAGACCTCATAACTAGGGTTAGAAAGCACTTACAAACATGGGACACATTTCTATATGTACTTTGTCCCATGGGTGACAGAACCTGTAAAATAAAAGTTATAATGATGGATCTTCTTTAAAACATCCAATCACAAGTCACCTTTTGCTGCTCTGACTTTTCTATAAAGTACAGTACTGTGCCATCATCTGCACTGCTAGAAGGTTTCAGAATCAATTCAAGTGTGTAAAGACAAAATCTTTAGATTTGGAAACAGTATGGTAGGGTTAGAATCTCTGTCAAGTTTTTTTTGCTGTCTGTGTCCCATCGGGGGAGATACTCCAGTCTATTTGTCCTTGTGATTGTTATCTCTGGTACAGAAAACTATGATTTAATTTAAATCCAATGTTTTGAGCTGGCACCGCTACAGAAGAGAGTGAAAATCCTTCGATAAGGACATCTCTTCTAGTGACAGCTAGCAAATTGGGAATATCCCTTCGCTTTGCAGACATAACCTTTTATTTTCAACTGTGTCTCTGAGACAGGATGTGAAATCTCCCAGACAAGATACAGACAAAAAACCTAACAGGGGTGTTATTGATTCCTCCTCCATCCAAAACTTAAAAAATAAAAAACAAAGTTGCTTTACATACCATTTTAAAGTAAATATTATATCTCAAGCTGTTGGAAAGCAAAATCTGTAGAAATTATAACAAACATTCCAGGTCATGTTATTCAGAGTCAACACCCAACCACAGCATTAAGGGCACAATGTTCTGATTGCATTGGCAAAAACCACACAGTCCAAATATTATCTACATGCAGTTGGGCTGCAGCCACAATGCAGACATGACAACACAGTCCTGTATCAGAAAACTGCATAAGAGGTGTTACAAGGCACTTACAATCAGTATCCCCACAATTGCCGATAGTACCAGAGAACTGTCATACACAGCTCCTGCAATATAGGATGCCGTCTGCTGGTCGTATCCTGGGTATTTGTCCTGAATGAATTTGCTGGTGAATTATAGAACACATATAGTGTTAGCCATCAACAAAAAGGAGAAGAGTTCACAATCCAGAGATCAATACAGCAGAGTATTTACCTGGCATCTGCCACAAATGGAAAGACACCATTATAGAAGAACATGATGGTGAGGACCAGCAGCCAGTATCGTAGAGGTAATTGCCGAATGTCCTGCACTCGCTGTACAGTGAGAAGAAAAAAAAAATATGTCACTTTCAATTGTTATTACTGCCACCTACTAGAGCAAAATCAACATGTCATACTGAAAAATCTTATGCTTAGTTCCTACTTTAGAGTTCTCTGGATAAGAGTTAGTACGGCGGCCCATGTGCACCTTTCTGTTGCTTGCATTGCAATGGCGGCTGATATTTTGTATGTAATATTAATGTTAACTAGCTGGATGTGTGCTGGCACAAGACAGCGGGCCAAGTGATAACCAGAAGAGGAATTCTGGCACTAAAAATATGTGGTGCAAAGGTTTGTGGGAAATCCATATAACCTAGATTGAGGGAACTACTACTTACAACTTTCTTGGACTCTTCTTGGATGGCTCCATCAAGACCCAACTGTTTCATGCCCATTTTATCTAATACACTGACAGTAACAGCAGAACAGAAACCCAGGACACATAAAATGGTTCCTGCAAATGAATACAGATTAATAAGCACTGTAAAACATTATCTTATGACCTTTTATTAAGAGGCTATATCACAAAGCAAAGCACCAGTGCCAAAAGGCAAGCTAAAATTCAGAATAGCTGGGACAGGAGACCCCAGGCCAGACCAGGCTGGGACAGGAGACACCAATTGGATGAGACAGAGAGGGGGCACAACTGGATAAGACTGAAGAAATTACACCAGCTCAAAAGGACAGGCAGTAGGCACCAGCTGGGTCAGACTGGGACAGGGGAAATCTACTTGTCCCAGCATGAACCAGAAGCGCGGCCATTCAATGTACTGCTGACTTGAAATGCTGATCTGGAATTTGCATTCTGATAGCTTGTTTTAATGAGATCAGAGTTGATGCTGCCAAGAGCCCACCAGAGGTAAAATGGAACTATAGACAAAACTTTTTTTTTAACAATTTTTAGATAAAGTAAGGAGTAAGGTTATAACCCGTCAGATTTATTTTCAACATCTGTGTACCATTGTGAAGATTTCCCTTCGCTTATTGTCACGTAGCCAAAAAAAAGTGAGAGTAAATAGCTGCCAATTAAGAGAATTCCTTTGGGACTCTCAAGGTCACCAGAACTAGAGTCCCCATTGGAAGACTTCCCCTCCGTTACTGTTCTGGGGACAACCCAAAATTTGGGATTTTCTTTTGCTTTTACTTTCAATGATAAAGGTAAACAGGACAAATAGAGAGGGTGAATCTCCCTAATGGAGGCACAGACAGCAATAAAAACTGACAGGGGTTCTAATCCCTCTCCACTCTAAGCAAACCTGAAAAAAAGTTTTGCCTCTAGTTATAATTTAATATTGCAGACACTTCATCTGTCATATGCTGTAGGTCTGCACTGTGAAGAATCTTGGTTTTGCTTTATCAAAAAACAAAATAAAATGTTTGGCTGGAGTCAGGCAAAGAATCTGCATTAAAAACATTTATAGGTTCCATTTAAAAAGCTGCTCACCTCCCCAAAGCGTCCACTGGATTCCAAAGTGTTCTTCAAACCTCTGGGTGAGGAAGAAGTTGAGAACACTACCCAAGCGGGAGAATGATAGGGTCAGACCAAAGGCCAGTGCCAGCTCTTTGCCTCTGAACCAAAAGGCTGTGATACGATTCTGTACAACTGAAGAAATCATAGAAAACAAAGTTCAGCATTGGCAGACATTAGGTGCAACCAAAATCAACTATTGTCTATTTTTACATATACAAATGTGTGAAAAATTAGGTACAAAGCACAGAAATTGTTGGCTTCATCATCATACTTGAACAAGCAAACATTAGATCTTTAATTCTGAAGTTATTCTATGGATGGACAGCTCATTTCAAAATCCCCTTACAAAATGTCAATGGAAATCAGAAGCTTACAGACTGCCAATAGTCAAATCTCTATCTCGTCCTTTAAGCCATTCTTTGGTGAATTTGCTAGCGTACATCTGAACATTACAATGTTGAAAGACTCATTTCCAATTCAACTTCAACCTTTGCACAGATGGCATCTCACGTTCATCAAGCACACTTTAACATCTTCCAGCCTGGCCTATAGCATTATGACGGCCAGGAGGGACAATCGCCAATGACTGGGCATCATATGACATCCTGTCAAAACAAGCCACGCAGCAGCGCAATCTGTCACCGGCTGTGTCCAACGGACACAGTCGATGACATATCACTACATCGGACTGTTGCCACTGTCATGTGACCGCTGTGACCAATCACAAAAGATCACATGTCAATTGTATACAATGGATGGCTTCCTGTCATGCCATCCATTGTATACAATTATGTTGTTAGCTGTAACTGGTCAAGGCAGTCACATGATACAGACAGGGCCAATCACAGCTCATCTGTATCATGTGATCAGCTTTGCCCAATCACAGCTAATCACAACAAAAGACTGAATGAATCAGTTTCACTAAGTAACAACGATTGCAAATATCAATGAAATACATTGGTATTAGCAATCATAATGTATTCAAAAAAAAAAAAAAATCCTGATCACTTGCCCAGAGTAGTTCACTGTTACTATGGTAACATTGTATTGCTTTGGTCACAGTGTGCTGAAAAATAAAATAGTAAAAAAAAAAAGAAAATTTAATAAAAAACAGAAACATTTGAAAAAAAAATACAAATTAAATTATTAATATTTTCACCAAAAGAAATGTAACAGAATATATTTTGACCTTAATTTATGAAGAAATGTTATTTGCAAAATTTTATAACAAACGAAGAAAAGCGCGTTTTTTGTCAGTTTCAGGTGGTGTTTTTTGTTTTATTTAGCAAAAAATAAAAAACTCAGTGGTGATTAAATACCACCAAAAGTGGTCTCTATTTGAAAAAATTATAAAAATTTCATATGGATACAGTGCTGCATGACCGTGCAATTGTCAAAGTGCGACAGCGCTGAAAGCTGAAATTTTGGCCTGGGCAGGAAGGGGGGTATAAGTGCCCAGTATTGAAGTGGTTAATATGATTCAGAATGTATAGTTGAATCAATGACTGTAAGGGCGTGAGTGAAGGCAGACGTGGACCGGAAGTGACGTCATAAGGAAGTAAGATGTTTGATTTTTTTTTAAAAGTGTAAACGCATTTTCGTTTTAATAAATATCCACAATTTAACTTATTACACCATAAGAGGCATATTGGTGTCTTTTTCCCACAAGGCAAATATAACAGCATGAGTTTAAAAGAGCCTTAAAAGGTACCATAACCCTTGATAATTGGAACCCTGGGATTCTAACCAACGACCCTAGTACTACTAGGCGGAAGAGCTAATCCTGGGAAATACAGATGGAGAGTCCCTAGTGGTCTGGAGGTGAAGGCGGATCAAAATATTGGTGGAATCCAAGTGGCTTATCATATACATGCAATAGGATAATAATTTGGAGGTGAGAGTTCTGTGAGCACAGACGTGACACATACTGTGTGAAGTCTAGAAGAACAGCATTAAAGACTTTGGTGTTGGATAATCACTTTAATAACAGCTTCATGATTTCTGTGATTTTATTTAACATCACGTATTGAATTATATGGACTGAGTACCATAACATTGCTATTAGACTTTAATGATTACTGGTACACTTTACTGCATATGTTTCTTTGTTTTTGGCACATGTGAAGAGGAGATGGTGCATATAATTAGTTTGAATATTTTTTATTATTGTTGTTTTTTTTCCAACTTAACACAGTTTTAGCAGTGCAGCATCACACAATGCAATTATACTGAGTTTTACACAAGTGTGGGAACACATATTTGATGCTAGCAGCAGCTGTGTACATTATTTGATATTTATTTAGTCATTTATTTACCCTTAAGGTAGCGCAACAGTAATCTTCACATAATGACTGCAAGATGCCCATGCCCTGAAGCACTAAAGCAACTCCAAATCATAGCATTCCCACCACCATGCTTCACAAAGGTCTTCTACTGAAATACTTTCTATGGTTTGCAGTAAACATGTCTAATGTTACTGTAACCAAACTACTCCAAATTTGATTGATCAGTCTTGAACACATTGCTCCAGAAAGCCTGGTTTCTGCCTACATGTTAAACGGCAAACTGTAAATCATTCTCTAATAATGTTACTGTAATGTAATTTTTTGGGACAGGACAGGCTTTTTCTTAACACCGCTCTCATGCAGGTTGAATGGGTGCAATTTTGTTGCGATTGTAGATGCATGTACCTTAACTCCAACCGTTGCAAGTTTCCTGAACACCCCACTATGAAATTCTGGGATCTTGCAGACCTCTTTTAGCAGAGAGTCAGCTCTTGAACCTTTGCTAGGTCGGCCAGTCTTGGACAAAATTAGCATTTTTTTAAATCTACCCCACTTGTAGACTAATTTCCCTACAGTGGAATGATCAAAATATTTGGCAATCTTTTGAAAACCCTTGACAGACTTGGGAATCCACAACTTTCGTATGAAGGGCCTTAACCACTTCCTGTCCGGACACTTTTACCCCCTTCCTGTCCAGGCCAATTTTCAGCTTTTAGCGCTATCACACTTTGAATGACAATTGTGCGGTCATGCAACACTGTACCCAAATTAATTTTTTACCATTTTTTTGAGACAGATAAAGCTTTATTTTGGTGGTATTTATTCACCACTGGGATTTGTATTTTTTTTGCTATGTAAATGAAATGTCCAAAAATTTTGAAAAAAAGTGTTTTTTTTATAAAATTTTGCAAATAAATAATATTTCATCATAAATCTTAGCCAAAATTTCATCCGTTATCTTTTTAGTAAAATGGTGACACTGTACTACTTGTGGGGGGTGATGAAGATTTTTTTTTTTTTTTTTTTTTTACACACTGATTGCTTTTACACCCATATAGGATGTAAAATCAATCATTTCTCTTTCTCTCTGTGTGCATTCTTGCACTCATTGAGAAGTACTGAGTGAGCTGTGATTGGTCACAGCTTGTCACATGGTACAAGGCTTTTGTGAATAGCCTTGTACCATGTGACCTCTGTGATCATTCACAGATTTCACACGTAGTAAGCAATGATGTCACAAGTGACATCTTGCTTACTACTTTGCATGTGATCACTGATTGGCCAATCAGTGATCACATGATCGGGACCTCGTACAGAGGTCCCGTCCGACGATCGGTGTTTCACTGTGTCCGGAGGACACAGCGGGCACCGGATCGCGGTGCTGCGCGCTCCCAGGGAGCGCGCACAAGCAGGGTGCGGGGAGGCCGTTTATAGACGGCCACCCGACCCTGCAGTGCCACCGTCCGCCGTTTATATACAACGGCCGGACGGGAAGTGGTTAAAGAGCTGTATTGATTTTATCATGATGATACCAAACCAGAAAGTAAATAGCAAAGAACAACAGACCTGAGATATCTGATATTTATAAAAGATAAGTTTCACCTGCATACTCCCTAAGGAGGCACAAATCATTGCCACCTATCAGATGGAATTTTTTTGGATTTCAAGTGGTGCTAATGTAGGGGTATACTTACATTTTCATATGACAAATCAGCATTTTTGTTAATTTAGATCATGGAAATGAATACCCCATATCAACTGTATGTGCCATTTGTTCAAGTATATCATCTTTACCTGTAGGCACCATTTGAATGAAGATCTAATGTTTGCCTGTTCAAATATGCTACAAAACGTCAATTTCCATGGGAAGTACTTATTTTTTTCACGAGTGTAAATGTTCTCCCATCTTGCACCAGGAAACAGGCAATTTCACCAAAATTTTTTTGTTATTTTGCATTTAAAAAAAGGACAATACAAGATCTGTACACCTTGGGAGAATTTTGTAGCGCCTTACTTGTCAGTGATCCATTCCCAGAGCCAAACAACAAGCGTCCAGTTAACATCAGAGGTAGCAAGTAGGGGGTTCCTTTAAAGTGCGATCCCAGCGCAAAAATGGAAGAGCCCAGGACAGTCAGGAAGGAAAACAGGAAAAGCCCAACTGGCAAAAGAAATCAAAATGACAAATTTTCAATAGCATTTTAGTTTCTTTGATAACCTGACACATTTAGCCCATTCGGGGCATAACTACAATAAGTGTATAATTTGATTGTTAAATTGGTTCATTTTTCTATGGTCTTCTGTTTTCGAACATTCTCTGGAGCAGAGTGAGGGCTCAGAAAACATGAGGAATATATTTTAGACATTTATTCATAGAAGAATAAAACTGAAGCTGAACTTTAGGCATACAGCTAAATACACTTGATTCACAAATTCAGGAGCTGTTTTGCTTGCTAAAGGATTTGTAATTTTGTCCATCCAGTTTGTAGATTTACATAGCTCTGCCACACAACACAGTCAAGTTGGCCATTTATGCAACATAGCTAAATCTGTGATTGGACAGTTAGGGCTTGTTTACACTTGCTTCAAAAAGTGGCACTGGACACACTTTTTTTTCTTTTTTTTAAAGTACTCTGAATATCAATCAAAGCCCCTGTCACTAAATAAAATGGTAAGCCTACAGTCCTGTTAACAAGTTGAGTTTGCTTTGCTTCAAAAATTATACCCCATGTCGCTTTGTTGGTGCTTCAAAGAGTCTCCAAAGTCACCTTAAAAGTCTATGACAAAGTTTGCTAAAAGCACAGCTTTTGAGAGGCTTTTATTCAGCTTTAGCATTGCTTTGTTTTGGAGGTATTACAGATATGAAATATCCTGGGATGTACTGTGGGAAACCAGCAAGTGAACTGAAAAAGACGTCATCAGCAGTCACTTCCAGTTCATATGGATATATTCTGGAAGTATCTGGTGCAGATGTTACATCTGATGTACAGCGTGGAGCAGCAAGAAGGTGATCGGGGTGTGGACCACAGCAGAGAAGCTAGCAGACAGCACACGTGATATGCAACATGGGAACACTCTAGCAGGAGGTGCGAGGGGATCAGAGAAAGAGAGGACTAAGCGGTAGAGGATCGGCAGAGCTAGGGGACCGGAGTAGGAGAAACTAGCAATGTCACACGTAGTGTGCAGAGCGGGAACAATACAGCAGGAAGAGAGTGGGGTCCTGAGAGAGAGGATGATCAGCGGAGCTGGGGGTTACTACTGAGCGGGCGATCAGCGGAGCTGGGGGTTACTACTGAGCGGGCGATCAGCGGAGCTGGGGGGTTACTACTGAGCGGCGGCGATCAGCGGAGCTGGGGGTACTACTGAGCGGGCGATCAGCGGAGCTGGGGCTTACTACTGAGCGGGCGATCAGCGGAGCTGGGGGGTTACTACTGAGCGGGCGATCAGCGGAGCTGGGGGTTACTACTGAGCGGGCGATCAGCGGAGCTGGGGGTTACTACTGAGCGGGCGATCAGCGGAGCTGGGGGTTACTACTGAGCGGGCGATCAGCGGAGCTGGGGGTTACTACTGAGTGGGCGATCAGCGGAGCTGGGGGTTACAACCAAGCAGGGGTTAAGCAAAGCTGGGGGTTACTACAGAGCGGGAGTTCAACAAAGCTGGGGGTTACTACCAAGTGGGGGGTTCAGCAAGTAAAGCTGGGGGTTACTACTGAGCGGGAGATTACCATAGCTGGGGGTACTAGGGAGCAGGGGGATCTGCTGAATGAGGGGACCTAATGAACAAGGGCACTAATAAAAAAACAACACACACAGGGCATTTGTCAAGCTTCATTAAAACTTCAAAAAAGCATCACTGAAGCATCAAAAAACACATCAAAAAAGCACATTGAAGCATCAAAAACACATCAAAAAAGCACATTGAAGCACTTTAATGTGTGTTAAAGTGGAAGCAAGTGTAAATGAGCCCTTAAAGTGGTATTATCACAATAACTGATGCTTAACTCTAAAAGAATCCATATAAATCAATGCTTTAGAACTCACATCTGTTCCCTAGTTTGTCGATTAGGAATCCAGCCAGGATCACAACCAAGGCATTACTAAGAAATAGGAAAAAGACAAAAACTGAACAGGTGAAATGCGGAACTTTGTGAACAGATTTAGAACTATGTTTATAATATGCAAACATGCAACACAATATGCAACTGGTTGAAATTAGAATCGCAGCGTGCAGTCTTGTTGATATTTCGGTGTGTCTAGTATGGTTCAGTCCTACCCTGAATAGCTCTATACTGCCATTCAAATTTCACTGTATTGTGCAAGATTGGCCTCATAATACTCCTAGGGCAGTTACATTACTGGCAATGGCTCCAAATGCTTCATGACCCCTGAACCACCAAGAATCAAACTATCAGTCTGCTTATTTGACATAAAGGCAGGAGTACATTACATTGAGTGCCCCCATAGCAAGCCGTTTGCTAAAAGTATAAACCAATCTTACAGCACAATACCACCTATACCAATGACTACCACACCCTAAAGAAAAGTCAGCAACTTTCACCCTTGAAAAGTAAACGTAAATACAAAGGAACTTTTCTCATAAAATATATGACCTACATCAATACCAGTCATAAGTGTCCAAAACCATAAATGTCCTAAATCCCCATATAACCAATATAAATATAATTCAAGTCTCTATATATTTAAAGTCTTTTTTTCTCCAAATAAATGTATTTCTTTACTTTATCCCACGTGATGTTTCCAGATTTTCTTGTACCTAAAGATAAAAGTATACTCAAGATAGTGTATTACCTTTAAACAAATAATTATTTTTTATATATGTATCATTTTTATATATAATATAATATTTTTATTTTTATTATTATTTTTTTTTTTTCCTCACGTGTGTATTTGCACATGTAATGCAGTTTTTGCATGATTAACGATTTGTGGCACATTAATTATTTGTTTAAAGGTAATACACTATCTTGAGTATATTTTTTTTTTGAGGTACAAGAAAACCTGGAAACATAACGTGGGATAAAGTAAAGAAATACATTTATTTGGAGAAAAAAATACTTTATTATATAGAGACTTGAATTATATTTATATTTGGTTATATGGGGATTTAGGACATTTATGGTTTTGGACACTTATGACTGGTATTGATGTAGGTCATTATGAGAAATGTTCCTTTGTATTTACGTTTGCTATAAGGGCGCTTGTGCAGGCTCGATCTGAGCAAGGTCGTGGCTCCCACTGCTGTCTCCATGTCCAATGAGATGAGAGGAAAAAACTGCTGTTCTCAGATCGAGATAGTGCTAGATCGAGATCAGGTTCAGGTGGTGTCAGGAATGGACTCGCCAATAGTGGTGGGACTCACCTGCCTTGTGGGTTGCAGTACCAGGACTGGCCAGCGGGTGCTCTCAGCAACCAGAGGGTCACTCTGGCAATTAGCCACCACCTGGGGCTGATTGCAGGTGGTGTATTTAAGGGATGGCCAGACCTGCAGTCTGTGCCTTGTTGTACTGTTTGCTTGGCCCTGGTTTCCTGATCCTGTTACTTCTGTCCTGACTCTGCTTGAACTCTGCCTGTACTGACCTTGGCTAGTCCTGACCACTCTCCCGCCTGCTCCTGGTACTCCGTTTGCCCGTTTGCTACCGACCCGGCCTGCCTGACTACTCTTGTATTGTATGTTTGTTATCTGTTGGAGGTTTGGTTCAGTTTGTTTGCACTGTGTTTATGTCTAGTTTTGCACTGCGTTTGTATTGTTAGTCTTAATAAATTATATTATTTACTATATCTGAAGCCTACGTTTCCCTGTGTCAGTCCACACACTTCTGGTCATACCCGCATCCCTGACAGGTGGGTATCAATACATTAGATGTTATGCATACGGAAAATAAATTTCAAAATGCCCTTTCACTCAGGTACCAATCAGATTGCAGTGGTTAAAGCCCTACTGAAGACTTGTTTTGTATTATTCTTATGCAGTTAGCCTACATAACAAGTAAAGAAAACAGCATTTTTTTTTAAAATGATGTGTCTGCCCTAAACTGTAAAAAGGTGTCCTGCAGTAAAGCACTAGAGATCCCCACTGCTCCCACACAGCCCCCTGCACAATGAATGCTCCAATTAGCATCACAAAGAATGGGCATTGTGTGTCAGAGTACCATGCAGGGAGAGTGCCAGACCACTGGAGACCGAGCCACAGTCTGGATCTTCAGCGTGCTGCCAGCACAGGGTAGATTCGAACAGTTTTAAAGCTGAACTCCAGCAGTATCCTTTTCCCTAACCTTGTAGAAAGGCCATACCTGTGCTAAAACGGACAACTCTCAATTCCATGGAAACTTTCATCTCTACATACCACATGTCCCTTTGAAGCTGCAGCAACTATCTTGAGCCGGTCTTCATTTAATGTCTGAATGACGTCAATCATTATCCATCCCTAGTTCCAACTGATCCATTCTGCCTTTGCCCACTTCTATCAGCTATTGGCATTCTCCACCATAAATAATTTTTTTCCTGAGCATTATATGAAAGAAAACATCCCCCGCTTACCTTTAGAGGTGCATGCTAAAGCAACTGATTATCAGACTGCACAACTAAAGTCTTCAGCACCCAGTGCCAGCAGGGAGGAGCATGCACATCTAAAGGGACACCAGTGATGTGTTCCTTAGATAACACTCTTTGGGGAGGGTCAAGAGAAGATATTAAAATGTGCACATTACAAACTGTTTTAGGCACTTACACAGGATTAAAAAAAACAACATATTCTTTACTCGTTATGCAGTCTGACTGCATTGCCAAGTGAATCCAGACTATTTCCTTTCCTCTGTTTTTCATCCACAAGCCTGATTATGCAATTCATGGCAGTGTAAAATTCCTGTATACTCACGTCCAGGCGTATATAGCGTACAGCAGATTATATTGTTCTGGAGTCATGCCCAGCCCCTCCACACAGCCAGTGCTACCATTTCTGTGCGTGCCATTTGGCTGAGTACCATTACATGTCAGGTTCTAGAAACAATGCAGAGATGTGAGAAAAAGACATTAACGAGTGCTACGTTGAGATAACAACATATACAAATACATCCATCCAATGAACGATGATAAAGTCCAAAGTGCATCAAAAGTCTGGCTGTGTGTACAAGCATTCCTTCACAAATCTCTCGACAGATAACAAAAAGGTCAAAATTTAAAGCCATCATTTGTGTATGCAGCTTACTGCAGTTCCCCTTTCAAATGTAATTTCTTCTACCTTTGGATACAGCAAGAAAGATTAGAACCTCTGTCCTGCTTTTACTGCCATACACACTTCTATAAATGATTATTTCCCCAATTGACCTCTACCAATAAGAATATTCAATCTACAGTCGTCAATCCATTTGATCAATATGACACACACACAGCAAAGTGGATTTTTATGGTTAGTTACAATGCAATCGTAACTTACAAACGCAAGTCATTGATCACATCTCTGCTTCCTCCATGTATTCTCATCAGGGTGGATAAAAATCAATGATTTTTTTTTTAAAAAAATCTAAAAAATCTGATTTTTTTTATTTAAATCTGATTTTTTTTAAATAAAATGCTTTTTGAGGAAAATATATTACCATCCAAAGGTTATTCCATCATGAAATAAAGATTAGTTTTTTAATTATGTAGAATAAGGATGTATATGTTTAATTTTTTTGGTAAATAAATTCCATGAATCCATTCACAATGTCATGCTCTTCCAGAGGTTTTTGTAGAGATTATTGGGCAGTTTCTCTGCCTACAAGATATTATCACAGATGTTGGTTTACTTTTGCAGTTCTCAAAACTGAATTTGACTCAGCGGAGATCACATGCCTCTTCTTCACAGCAAAAATGTTATAACATGAACAGTGTTTAAGAAAAAGACCTTCATCCTAACTTCTACAAACCTATGAATACAGAATCAACCCCTTCAGTGCTAAGTTTCAAGAAGTTCAGTGAATAGAATAGAAACAATATTTTTCTGATTGTTTGGAGTGGAATAGATCTGCACAAGAAGAAAGTGAAACTAAGTGTGAGGAGGAAGGGGCTGACAGTCTAAGTTTCTTAAAATATATATATTTTTGTTTAGCCAAATTAGTTACCAAACATGGATGTTTGTTTAAGCAAATCACATATGCTGGAATGTTATTGTTTCAGATGAATAAATCTATTTAAATTGTTATTATTAAGGTAATGATTATTTTTCTCCTTCCTAAGTACAACAGAAAAGTTGTCCAAATATGAATGATTAACCTATTAAACTGGGGATAAAAAAACTAATATGAAAAGTTATTCTAAAAATCTTCATCTACTTGCATATTAAAGTTATACCAGCAAGAATCAGTCTTTATGTAGAAAACTAGGATTTAAATCAAGCCTTACTGACTAGTGATTTAAATCAAATCCACCCTGATTCTCATAATCTAATCAATCAAGATACAACATTCATGAACACAGTATCTCAGTGCTGCCGATTAATGCAAAACGATTGATAATATTCCTCCCTCATTCCGTTTTTATCGAATCTGATCTAAATTGAGAGTATAGCGATGGGAAGGAAAGTTACGGCTATTCGATTGCTTGCAGATTCAATCATTTTGATCAAATCACACATCAATGGGATAATAAATCAAAGCGTGTATGGCCAGCATTAGACAGATTTACCCTCACTGGTTTTCCTGCTTTACTAGAGAGGAAGTGAAGGAAAATCTGCAAGAGGAACAAACACAAAAATAAAATTCTAACAGGGGTTCTAGCCTTCCCTTTTATCTACTTAAAAAGCATTTTTATTTCCCTTTGGTTGTTGGAGAGTCCCTTCAATTTCTGTCTGGTAAAACCACTGTCAGCAGGAAAAGAAGTGAGGGGAAATCTCTTTATCCACTTGCCCCCCAGAGGATTTACCCCCCTTCCTGACCAGGCCATTTTTTGCATTACGGCGCTGCGTTATTTTAACCGACAATTGCGCGGTCATGCAACGCTGCACCCAAATTAATTTACAGCCCACTAATAGAGCTTTCTTTACGTGGTATTTGATCACCTCTGTGGTGTGTTTATATTCTGTGGTATAAAAAAAAGACAAATTTAAGAAAAAAAAAAAAAACAAAAAACAATATTTTTGACTTTTTGCTGTTAAACATGTCCAGTAAACAAAATGAAAGAAAAAAAAATATGACATCATAAATTTCAGCCAAAATGTATTCTGCTACATGTTTTTGCTAAAAAAAAAAAAAAATCCCAATACGTGTAAATTAATTGGTTTACGTGCAAGTTATAGCGTTTACAAATGGCGGTATATATACTGGAGTTTTATTTACTTTTTTTTTTTTACTAGTAATGGCGGCTATCAGCGACTTATAGCGGGACTGCGGTGGGCATTCTGACACTGGGGGGAACTGACAGACGAGCAGACATACTGCCAGGCCTGCAGGAGACATGCACAGGCATAGATTTATTCTGTCTTTGAAATGAACCCCGACACTTACCCCTTGGAATTGGTCCTGCAGAACGCTGGGAATGTCAAAGCAGAAATAGGAGCCAAAGGTGAGCATGCAGTTGAAGAAGAGAACCACAAAGCGGTAATACCCTGAAAAAGGGACAATTCCATTACTGATTGCACAGACAACACTAACTGAACACAATTCAAGAGATCAGGTTTACCCATTAACACATGAGGAAGCTACAACAGAGACAAAATGTACAGAAAAGACATTTCAAGCACTAAAATCTATGCATTTAAGTTTGAAGTAACTCTGTATCAGATCATTTTGAGTTCTTGGCCCCACTGACAGGAGTGCACTGTTCTGTACACACATGCAGATGGCCATGTATAGAAAAAAAAGAAAAAACTGATCACCTGCCCAGGTCTATAACTGGCTTTTTTAAACAGTGAACATGGGGGGCTGTCACTATGTGAAAAATTCCAAAAAAAGTAGAACTATCCAGTTCAACTTGCCAGCCTACCCCAATCTAATAGTGGCTATTATTGGAAAGGAACAAGGATATGTACATCTTTTTTTCTTTGTATGCTTTGTAGGTTCAGTGGGTGCACTGGACTCCCTAGCTGCCGTTGTGCCATATGCTGGGTGTCAGGTGCGCTCCCATAACCTTTTTAATGAAGGGTGGGGCTCCCCTCATGTTTATCTGCCCTTGTTTCTATCCATTTAAATGCATGTGCCTCCACTGTGAGGACTCTTTAGATTTGTAGAGTTAGGACCACAGATACTCAGGGTGCCGTGACGCGGCTCTGTGGCTTACGTATGTATTTGCAAATGTGTGCTAACTAAACCCCTGTTTTTAAACGCATGTTTCCAGACAGGTTAATTTGGTTTTTGATAGTTGGCTAACTGGCTGACAGTTTGAACTGGCTTTTCTTATCCCCCTTTGTTGATAAGATGTACATATCCTTGTTCCTTGCCAATAATAGCCACTATTAGATTGGGGTAGGCTGGCAAGTTGAACTAGATGGCCATGTATACCTGCATGGGAAGCACAGGGTTCTGTGCAGGCAGTATGTTAAAGTGGTTGTAAACCTCAGACATGAAATATGAACAAAGCATATCCCTCTATAGTGTGTACTTGTTTCAATCCAGAGCATTAAGTGACATCTGTTTGCAGCCCCATTCCTCTGCTATTCAGAATAAGTCAGTCCTGACAAGTTTTCCTGACACACACCAAGAGAATAAAGATGACAGCGTAAAGAGCTCCAGCACACAACCTGTGATTGACAGTCTCAGCTCTGTTCCTGTGTGAAGGGGGGTGTGCTCCTTCCCTCCAATCAACTCTCCTCACTGAGCTCTACAGTGTGTAATTGCAGCTCCCCAGCTCCACCAGATTTGCCTTCACTTGTGCAATGATCTGGCACTGTATCTGTCTACATGTTGTTCTTTGAATGGTGGAAGGTAATGGGAGAGGTGATGCTGGTATCCCAGGAGGCTGCAGACTGAAACATTTTCATATAGGTAAGAATGGAGGCAGGGGCAAGTTGGAAAAAAAAAGTTAACTAAAATAAAAAAAAAAAATTTAAAATAAAAAAGGTCAGCTTTTTATACAGTGGAGGAGGAAGGGTTAGAATGTTATTTGTGAGTAAAGATCTGCTTTAATAGAGCATGATGAGCATGTGAACAACCAATGTTTCAGAGACACGCAGGGTAGGTCCCCCTTCTCAAGGCGACATGGGCATTAAAAAATTGTGAGCAGCACAATCATAAAAACCCGACATTAACCACACAGACTAAGACAAGCCATAAGTTAACTGATTTTCTTCCACAGGTGGAAGGAAAGAAAATTGCTCAACTATGTAGATGGGCGAATGCCTCCCACAGCGCCATAGTGTTCTGCCAGCAGGGAACTTTCCCAGCTGGCAGAATACGATTACTGCTAGTGGCTATAGCCGCGGGCAGAAGCTGCATTCTAAAAAAAATGACAGGCTGGTTGGACCCAAGTTGATTGATGGATGGACTTGAGTACAATCAGCCTGCCCATAGATGGATTGAATCTCAGCTAGTCCCTGCTGAACCAGCCGAGATTCAATCCATTTATGGCTACCTTAAAGTGGTTGTAAACCCTTACATATACCCAGTGAAGTGACTGGCCTCAGGTGAAGCACAGAGATGAAACAAATCCTTTTACATGAGTTGTACCTGTTTATCTACAGCTATCTTTCTCCTCCATCCATTCAAAGTTCATTATTTGGACAGGATCTCTCAGCTCTGAATAGCAGGGGGCTGGAGCAGAAGTTACATCAGTGAGGAGAGCTTTGAGAGCTGATTGGAGGCAACAGACACACCCCCTCCACAGAGCACACAGGAACAGATCTAAGGCTGTCAATTTGCTGGAAGTCCCTCCCCGTCACCTTTTTTCTCTTGTGTTAGGAAAACTCATTAGGCATGACTCATGCTGATAGCAGAGGAACAAGGCAGTGGTCAGCTATGACATTTCGTGCTCTGCACTGAGACAAGTACACACTATGGAAGGAAATGCTTTGTTCATATTTCATGTCTGAGATTTACAACCACTTTACGTCATAAAAAAAAAAAAACCTCCCTTTGGCCATGTTTACAGTGCTTTCAGTAATTTACTGCAATCTATGCATCATTACCCATGCAATATACAAGCCATGGAAACAAGAAAACACCCAATTAGGGCTGGCTGAAATCAGGATGATGCTAAGGTACTCAAGCACCACGCTGCTCAAATCACTGCTCATGATTGTTGCCAAGTGACCACCATGCTCTACTGAGTAAATGAAGGACTGAATTTAATTTGATTTTCTTGAATTTCTTCCCTGCATGACCAAGTGCAAGAGGGACAATGATGGGACACCACGCTTCCCTTTCCCACTCAGGAGCTTCGCTGTGTAGATCTGCCAAGGGGAGATCTTTCAAAAAATAGAAGAATAGCGCTGATTCTTGATAGGTTCCCTTTAGCCGGGAGTAGATCTCTGCTGCTGACCTCTGTCCCTGTTCTGGGTTCCCCAGTTCACAAATAGCACAAGAGTTATGTCCCAAAGGAGCAGCAAAATCAGCTGTTAAAATGCAGATTTTACAAAAACTGGCTCTTTAGCCTTTGACCTGCCAACAAGAAAACCAAATGCTGAGGCAGCAAAATGCACAGGAAACACATGTGCAGGGTGATCATGCTTCTAAAAAGCACTTTTCATCAAAAATACATGTATGTATGTCCAGCTATAACATTGGTATAATTGGCATCAAGAACAGAACAGCCTCATCTATCAGAGCAATATTGACATTTGCAGTCATTTCAGTGCAGATTATAGATGAATGGGAAGATTATAATTTCTATGATATAGGCAATACAAAATTAATAATAGGGACTTGCAGCCAAGACTAGAGGACTACAGCACAACTCCCAGGTCAGCCCCTCGAAGAATCAAATTCCTCTGTCCCCGTCCTCTGGTGGCTCTATAGATCGGATGTACTGACCTATATAAATAAAAGATCTGTTAACCAGATAAAATATTCACATTGAACTAACATTTTATTTTTTGCCCTTCAGATTGTAGTATTGGTTATTTTTTAAAGTGAAGCTTCAGCCAAAAACTATATTTTGACATGTTCTGCGACACTTTTCCAACACATGAAAGATACTTTCACAAAATCTGCATTAGTCTTTAGGGACAGACTCTGTGAACGCTCGATTATCGGAATAAACGAGTATTGAACACTATGGCGCAGCCATTCAACTTCATTCCCATCACAATCCAAAGTGACGCTGGAAGCCAACCGGAGTGCAGGAGATGCCACCATCGTCCTATCATTCCAATAGACAGAGATCCCAGGATCCCTCCACCTTCTGATCTCAGACATGCTCCTTACGTGACTCTGGCCATTTAAACTGATCACATGACTGCAGAGTCACATGGCTGAGCACCCTGAGCTCTGCTGGAACCCCCCTCCCCCAGTGACCCCCCGAGGATTCCACTCACCTCTCTCTGCCGGCACGACCATGGCTTCCCCGTCCTTCCTGCACAGACACAACACAATGTGAGATCTAATACCGGGCAGCACCGCACTCTACGCCTCATCCCACTATAGAGAGTCTCACCCGGTCACACCCCGACACAGACACCGATCACCGGCCGGATCCCAGCGCAATACCCGGCCCAGAGTATGCCCATACACGACTCTACCTGACTCCGCCCTCCTGGGACGATAGACAGGCAAAGCCTCGCCCAGAGTGGAGTCTGCACGGGGCGCCCTACGCTCTTCTTACACACCGACAGTGAGAGCGCCGTACTGAGCAAGGCCGCCAGAGGGCGCAAGAGAACATTCACAGCCAGCTGTACTATACACGTCCACCAGAGGGCGCAGGAGACTATACACAGCCAGCTGTACTATACATGTCTACCAGAGGGCGCAGGAGACCATACACAGCCAGCAGTACTATACATGTCCACCTGAGGGCGCAGACCATTCACAGCCAGCTGTACTATATATGTCCACCAGAGGGCGCAGGAGACTATACACAGCCAGCTGTACTATACATGTCCACAAGAGGTCGCGCCTGCTTCGTGACCATACACAGCCAGCTGTACTACACATGTCCACCAGAGGGCGCAGGAGACCATACACAGCCAGCTGTACTACACATGTCCACCGGAGGGCGTGCCTGCTTCATGACTATTCATAGCCAGATGAACTTAGCATGTCCACCAGAGGGCACGCGTAAGGAAAAAATGTTCTATAGTTCATGCCTAATATGTCCACCAGAGGGCGCATGTGTTAGAATATATTTTTTTATGCTTTTAAAGTGGTAGTATTTATTTATTTCAGGTACTTATATAGCACCGTCAATTTACACAGTGCTTTACATATATATTGTACATTCACATCAGTCCCTAAGCCTCAGGGGGCGTACAATCTAAGGTCCCTAACTCACATTCATACATACACATACTAGGGCCACTTTAGACAGGAGCCAATTAACCTACCAGCATGTCTTTGGAGTGTGGGAGGAAACCAGAATACCTGGAGGAAACCCACATAGCCACAGGGAGGACATGCAACTCCAGGCAGGTGGAGCTTTTGAACCAGTGACCCTAGTACTGCCAGGTGGAAGTGCTAACCATTCAGCCACTGTGTTAGTAAAGTCTGTTTGTACATTTTCATCTACAGGCAGGGTTTTAGGTGCAGGGACTCCACCCTTTCCGAATCACTTCATGTCTATGTCCCCTACACACCTCCGAGCACAGGCCCTTGGTTCCATACCCTACCCACCTCCGAGCACAGGCCCTTGGTTCCATCCTCTACCCACCACTCTTTATAGAGTATACAGAGCCAAGTATCATTTTGTGGTGCTAAGTAATTTAGATGAAATTTATTAATGATAACAAAAAAGTAGTAAAAAATAGATGCCCTTCAGCCAGCAGCAATAGACCCCCCCCCCAAGCATCAAAATTCCACCCCCCAACAATAGACCCCCAGCAGCAACAACAGATCTCCAAGCAGCAGACAGCAACAATAGACCACTCCCTCAACAGTAGATCAGTTTCAGCAACAATATATCCCCCACCAGCAACAATAGATCCACATGCAAACACAGATCACATCCAGTGACAATAGATCCCCCAGCAGCTAGCAGCAATAGACCCTCCAGCACACCACAGCACCCCTTGCCATTACATACATTCAGTACTGGAGGTGCTGCGTTCCCCAACGTTTCCCCATGTTCCCCCACGTTCCCCTGCATTCCCCCACGTTCCTGCGTGTTTCCCCATGTTCCCCCACGTTCCTGCGTGTTTCCCCATGTTCCCCCGCGTTCCCCCACGTTCCCGCATGTTTCCCCATGTTACTCCACGTTCCCCTGCATTCCCCCACGTTCCCGCGTGTTTCCCCGTGTTCCCCCACGTTCCCGCGTGTTTCCCCCATGTTCCCCTGCGTTCCCCCACATTCCCACGTGTTTCCCCATGTTCCCCCGCGTTCCCACTGAAAAAAGGCCCTGCCTACAGGTAAGCCTATAATAAAGCTAATCTGTAGGTAGAATGAATATCACCTGAATGTGCACCGTGTAGGAGATCTTCTATAGAGAAGCAGCCGGTGACAATACCGGTGCATGCGTTCTGAAGGAACCGCATACCAGTGCAGTTCCTTCAGAGCTGTGTGCTGTGGCCGAAACTCTCGTGTGCTTGCGCAGAAGTGATGTCATTGCGGCTTGGCCATTTGAGCAGCCACAGCCCGGGATCCCGGAAGGAAGACCAAGTGAAGATGGAACCTCTGCAGCTGTGACATCATGCCGCTGGAGGGCTTAGTTCTAAGCGAAGTCTTTCATATTGTGTTGGTATGTGATGCATGTAGCACATTATATTGCCTTGCAGGGAGAAGATTTCTGTTTTTTTAAGGCAAGTTTACTACCACTTTAATTATGACCTATGAGGCTGAATGCATGGTGAAGTATCAAAGCGGTATTAGGTCTCATGCACACTGGGGATTTTAAAACCGCCGGTAGCGTTAGCTATATAAAGTTGCATTAAAAATGCAAGTTTTTCCATCTTAGCGTTTAGCCACATTTTGTCACATTTTGTAACTTTTTTTAGTGTTTTTTACCAAGAAAAAATTTGGCCTCAAGAAACAATCAAATGCCGTGTTTTACCGCATTTACCAGCGTTAGAGCGGTTTTACAGCTACAAAACTCCTCTAGAAACCCACTAGTTCTGTTTCTTTTTCCAGCCAGAAAATGCTCCTGCCAAAAAATGCTGATTAAAGCCTATGAATGCATGGACACATAGGATAACATGCTTAGGTAGGAAAAAATGGCAGAAGCCAAAAACAGCAGCTGTAAAAATGCCACGTGTGCATGAGACCTGAACCTAAAACCAAAAAATGTTATATATTACAGCTTACCAATCAATAGATGTGGTGGCTGCATTAGTTTTCTTATCTTTGGCTTTTCCCACTTTGTTTACACCTGGGGATTTGGCCCATCATACATATGCTATGTTAATGACCACCATATGAATGTAGAAGAAGGAAAATCCTAAAAAAATGCAGCGATCAAATCTAAAAATTGGTAAGCTGAATTATAATAAATGTTTACTTTTGGGTTTAATACTGCTTTAAACCCGAAAATGTAATACAGCATATTGCAAGTTACCAATCATTAGATGTGGTGGCTGCATTAGCTTTCCTTTTTTTTCCTTCTTTTTTCACCTGGTGATCTGGCCAGTGACACACCTCCTGTATTAGAGTGCCCCCATTCTGGATGAAGAAGAAATACAGACACCTTTGGACAGCAGCATTGTTGATGAATGTGAAGAGTGTTAGGTGTACTAGCAGGTTTGCATACACTAACAATATGAAGCCAAACTCCAGCTCACACTTTATAATCAGTTACAGCAACATTTTTTTTCCTTTTGAGATAAAGGTTTAACATAAATAAATAAAAGTTGATCACTGTGAATACTCCTGTGAGAGTTAAATGGTTTGTTTCAACCCTGTAACTGTTACTTCTGCAGGATAGCTTGTGCTGTTGAAAAACAACAGTTTTACTGGCAGGATCACTAGGTGACAAAATAAAAAAAAAGAAAGCCAAAAAAGGAATACTAATGCAGCCACCCCATCTAATGGTAAGCTGCAATATAATAATGTTTGCTTTGGATTTAATACCTCTTTCATATGCAGGATTCTTGGTAACTTTATTAAGACTTCTACCTAGCTGCCACATTGATCCAATGGCTTTGTTACTCTGCCTCGCTGACCCAGAAAGACTAAAGACGCCCAACATTCTGATTTTTCTCCAACATTCTGGCTGTGCAGGACTTCAAGGGTACCCAAAACTCAGCATCTCCTACGGGGGTAGTGCTACAATCTTTTACATTTTCTTTGCATGTTTGAAGTGTATTTAAAGATATGTCTTTATTTATTTTAGTTTGGAAGGGTCAGTTTTTATTGCTGTGTGTCTCCCAGCTGGAGAGATTTCGCCTTGTGCAGGAGCATTACTAGTGTAACAAGGTACTGGGAGCAAATTTAGGACACTGTGCTGCAGTTGCTCTATTTGTACTCGTCTCAGACTGCCATACTGAATGGATTAATGCCATCTCACCTCCACCCACCAGGGGGAGCTGAAAAATCAAAAGCGCTAAGGAGACTTGTATGCTGGTCGCATTGGACTGTTAGAGGTGAAGTTCAGAAGGGGAGCCAACTGTGAAAGAGAATGTGATAAGGAGGATAAAGGAATTGTATTTGCCCGGGCTGCAGATGGAGTGACCCTCACTTGCTGCACGGGGATTGAAGTGTGCACATCTGTGCTGCTGAGTGCATGTAATTTAGCCATGAGCCATCAGTCTAGCCAGAGATTGGGGTCCTGTGTGCTGTGGAGTAGAGAGAGCAGGCCGGTGCACGAATGGGCCACAGACTAAACTACGGTGTTTTGTTGCAGGGAGACCAGAGTGCTGTTGGCCTGAGGGCTGAGGACCAGAGCCACTCCAGGCAGATCCAGAGGATGTCCAGACAGTGGGACTGTTGCGGCTGTATCACTGGGACTGGTGAGAGGGCATTGCTGCCATTGACATGTTGCTGCTAGTAGAGACTGAGCATGTAGTGACTGGGCATTTGATTAGCAACATTTACATTTGAATGCAGACTTTAATGGGACTGTACTTATGTGCACCATTTTAAAGACTGGGCCCCAACACTAGCTGGCTGAAGAACTAGGGCAAAAGACTGTCTCCTCAGATAGCTCCGCTACAAGGACTTCACTTGCTACTATAGAAAGGGGTACCTCTGCAGTAAGGTCTAGATCTTAGCATAGTTATTACCATAGAGTGCACTCTACCGTATAGACTGAACATTTTGAAAAAAAAGTTTTTCTTTGTTTCTATTATAAAATTTTGCAGAGAGGTAATTATTCTCCACTGATGTGCACTGATGAAGTTGCGCTGGTAGGCAGCACTGATGGGCATTGATAGGCTGCACTGATCATGTGGCACTGGTGGGCAATGATGAGGCTGCAC